TGAACCTACATATTGACAATGGGGGTCAGTTGAGACCTACACTTCACGACAAATGAGATAACTTTCCTATTATAAACTTCCAGAATATATGCAGTAACTTTTGCAGCAACCGCGCATATAAACTAGACATATCGCAGTTAATGCGATATTTCATGGCCTCAATTCCATGACTGGGTGATGTTTCTTAAATGGGATCTATTTAAGAAAAGTTCGTATATGATAAGTTGAAGAAGTTGTCCCTTAAAACATTTTATGGACTTAATAATAATAATTTGGTTAACCATTATGGGATATCTATGTCACATATTTCCTATTTTTTCTATACCCATAATCTCGTCCTACTTTGCCCGTTTAAAAAAAATCACTACAAGAGGCACATTTCTTCTCTCCAGGACCAAAAGTTCATAGTGGAAATCCGGACTGTTAATCATTGGTTTATTTTATTTTGGAAATCTGTAAAAATTACAATTGCATGATGTTAATTCGAAATGAAATCAAATGACAAATCCCACTTGATAGTTTTATAATTAAACGAATCCTTAACGTTTTGGGCGTTTTTCTCTTCACTTGCAAATACCCCACTTTTTAAAGAAGTCGGTTGTTGTTTTGTATGTAGAACGATTCCGACATAAATACAACTTCCTTTAACAACATCTTCATTTTTTTGATAAATTCAATGATCCATGTTTCATTGAACATGAAAGAATGAAAAAATCTTTCCTTTGAAGATGGGTTTATTGAAAATCTGTCTGAATGTCTATTGCACGATATATCACTTTACATGCAAATTGACATGATTTATATAACTTATGTGGGGAGATTTAGGATCGCAGCATTTGATAATCCATGTTGATCGAATAAATAGTGTCTTTTATAATCTATGATGTTCCCAGGCGTGCAATAAAAAGTGAACTTATTTATCAAATGAGGAGTATAATTTCAATATTACGTGTGTATTACTACTTCATATACATTGTTGTAATTTGTTCTCCATAAAATGTATATTTGATCTGCATACAAAAAGAGCGAAAAAATAACAAGGGGCTATACATAAGTAGAAGAATAGCAGACAACACCATGTCCAAAAGTAAAAAAGGAACCCGAAAAGACAAACATTCCACAGTAAACACGAGATTGAGAAACACGAATCTCACGGAATTGAGACAAACTCCGGTGCAACGGAAGAGTAACATAGAAAACAGAAAGTATGTCATTACGTTCAGTAAAGTCTTTTGTTTCATATGATCTACATCTCTCGTCGATTGATATCATGCATACTCAATAGAAATGAATTGACATTGTGTACACATTCATTATCGATAAGGGATAGCGAATAATAATTTCACTGTTGATTGTCATCTCAAAGAAAAGGTTACACTGTCAACACAGAGAAAACGTTTACTTCTCACGTCAACTAAATAAATAATTCCTTAAATTGATATATGTCTCACAAAACGTCTAGATATAAAAATATCTCCTGATAATAAATAAATATTAGTACAACCAAAACTAAATTTAAATGGATAACAAGGATATGATACTTATTTCATAAGACCTGTGGTGATGTTGATAAAGAATTGATATTTAACGTCCAGGATAAAAATGAATGCATATTCACGATGAGAACATGGTTTTGGGATATGATTAAAACCCTGTTTGTATTAGACAGTCACGCTAAGGTTGATTTTAATGAGCTAGTTGATAAGGTAACATTCCGACCAATCTGAGCACTTACTCATAAATCTGCTACATGCCCAGTGCTTAGTGGAGTCAAGGCAGCACATTCTAAGTCTTTTACTCGACCCAACGACCTCCCGCTCTCAAAGTGAGCACGCTACCACGAGACCACTCAGACGTTTTAAATTATGAGGTACAAAATGTTGGAAACAAATAAAAGAGAATGAAACCAAAAGAACAAATAAGTCAAAAGGTCTAAAATCAACTTTTCTGGGGGCAGATGCAAAATTTAGTTTTTAAATCACTTGTAAAATTTATAAATTCATACGATAGTAGTCTACCGATGTAAAATCTCGTAGATCAATTAAAAAGAGACAAATCAAGGCAACAAAGAAAAACAGAGAGAAACGCACGAACTTCAAAACGAGCGAGACCGGGCGCGCGACAAGGTAAGCGTATCCTGCTATGCGTGAAACGGAAACTCACAGATGGCATATACAATTCAATCATAATGATTGGTAGCATTATGCTCAAAAACTATTTTTTTTCTCTCCAGAAAATCAATGAAACCTTCTTAGAAAAGGCGGAAGATACCAATGTGACATTCAAAACTCATTAGTCGAAGAGAAATTGACACACCAATTTCAAAAAATAAGACGACGAAAAGAAAAACAAACAAGTCTCCAAACACTACTTCACAAACTGAAGACTAAGCAACAGGAAAAACACAAACAACTGGGAGTGTTCTCATGTAAACTACTAAAGAAATAAACTTTCATCCATTTCAATTGAAATGTACTTATGCAAACTAATACAATGGCATCAGAATTGTCATGCGACAATTTGTTTGGTGAATAATTCGCCGTTTCAGAATCTAATGCATTCTGGTTGATATTTTCAAAAGCGTACACCTAAAACGTTGTGATTGGTTTACAATATACTTAACAATGGATATTTAACCAATGACGTAACGTTATTTTGATTCTAGTGTTCGAACAATGAGATTACCCATAGTCCTTTTGATTCCGAAAAGGCGAATTTTTAATAAAAGCAATAATTCGATTGTCCTCTAACTCGTCTCATCATTTGGGACAGAATCGCGAACGTGGTTTGTAGTTAACGCTAATGGTGTTGCCTCTGTCGTATAGGTTTAGGATTTTCGATATTTGCGATTATACCAGAACCTTCATTTTCGGGTTGTCCAGTGACTAGTAAAATACATGCATCGTTATTTATTTTGGTGTAGGAAGTTTATTACTTAAATTATAGCTTACATGATATATAGGAATGTAACAGATGGTGTTGGAATTTTATATTGAGCCTTAAGGTTCGGTATAAAGATATGAGCTTACAAGTTTGACACCCGTTAACCTCAATGGAAGTGACATATCTCATTATATCTGTACAACTTACCTGTAAACAATGACTACTCCCTTAAAAAAAATGAATGCTAGAATTGGTCTCACATTATTTCAACAAAAGAAAATAAAAGAACGGGATAAAAAAATTCAATTTCATATTGTTTGCTTGTAAATAAATGCTATTCATGTGACACTGGCGATAGGGTATGCATTATGTTTGTCATTTTTTCTCTTAGGATATAAAACAATAACATTTTCAGTTGTTTAGTTCTGGAGGAATTTCAAACATATGAAAAATGCATTGATACTTTGATAAATATACAGAAGTTTCTTTGCAAATTTGAAATATTTCTTAAAAATATAAAATAATGCTATTTCCGACGATAAGGTATGTTACTATATGTCTTCGTGTTTACTACTTTTATTCCTTTGCGTAATATTTGATACAAAATATCCATACCATGATTTAAAAACAACGATATTTTTAATAGATAAACCATAGGGTACATTTTTTCTAACTTTAATTCGGACAATTGTTTTGCTTCCTTCTAGGAACATGTTTTAATTCTACAAAGAAATTTAGTCAATGGATAGTTTTTCCTAAAAAATGTCATTGTTTGCCGAATACAAGAGATTTTATTTTCATGGATTAGCCATTTTTCCTTAACACATAATCACATAGTCAGTTATATTCCCAGGTCACATCAGGAAGACAATAGTTTTGATATTTTTTTCAAATTTTTTGTGTATGTTCATCAAATATATACCAATGAATAAAATAGATATAAGAAGATGTGGCATGAGTGCCAATGAGACAACTCTCCATCCAAGTCCAAATTTATAAAAGTAAACCATTATAGGTCAAAGTACGGTCTTCAACACGGAGCCTTGGCTCACACCGAATAACAAGCTATAAAGGGCCCCAAAAATTACTAGTGTAAAACTATTCAAACGGGAAAACCAATGAATAAAGGTCTAGATTGGGTTGAAAAAATATAATGTGAGTATAAATTAATGACCAGAGAAATTGGCCCTAAATAAAAATCAGAGAAAAAAGACATAAAAGACAAAAAATACCAAAATGAAGACCCTTAATCTAGACTCTCTTGATCATATATGATACAAAAATCAGAAATGATGCTCTTCGTATAAGCTGAGATTCAAGAAAAACTATCTGATAATTCAATGTAACTAGGACCTTGTATGTAAATTCATAATAGAAAACATGTAAGTAATTTCAAAATATTCCGACTCAAACTAACGTAAAATTTGAATTAAATCAAAATCAAAAGCTAGTGTTGTTGGATCTAAAGAAAAAGGGAAAAATGTGGGAAATGGGAAAAGTTATCCCTCCTATGTAACTCCTTTATTCCACATCACAACAGCGTGTCATCCCACTCATAAGTTACATGTATATTGCCACACAAAAGACTGATTTGACATACCGTTGACGGTTCACTTTCTTTTGGAGTCAATTATGTGGTCATTTGACATTTGCACGACTAAAATGGCACAAATACTTCCGACAAGAACTCAAATTAATCACTTGTGAAAACTATCAACAATCTTGTTATATGACAAATAAAACTAAAGTTAAAAATGGTGTTTAAATTTCATCAAATATCAAATTTATGTAGCCGAATTAAAAATGTGTTTGTTTGTTTTTTTATTAGAGTCACTTATGGCGTATGAAAAATTAGGTATGACGTAATTTACAATTAATTATCTATGGGAAACTGTGCTTTTATATCTAAAAAACAAGCAGAAAGAGAGAGATAGAGGGCGCGCGCACGACTTACTTTTGATTAAGCATTCATTAACAGATAAAAGAAAAAGATTAGATACGGAAGTATCATATTGAGGAAAAGAGATAAAAAACATAAATAACAATATAATAACAGAAAATAATAATAATATCAGCGAAACAAATATTTTCTAAATAATTGTATAACTTTGACCTACCATGTATCTGTGTATCCATCAAATTACAATCCTTTAGTTTTCACTTTATAGTTCCATTTCAATTTCCAAAAGAATGCCATCGGAAATGTACAATTAATAAACGATCTATTTCCTCATAAATTATACGCTCAACTCCTCCTATTATCGGAAAAATTATCAAGCTATAGCTTCTTCAATGTCAATTATGTTAGAACTTTACATACAGGAGTCTCTTAACTGTAATGCCTATATTGACAAGCATTATAGGTAAGGACGACATCAATATTTTGATTATTAAAATTTCAATTAAATTTTCGTTAGTAGGCTCGAGTTTGTTTTTTAAAATTAACATATAGAGTGGGTGTTATTTTATTCCTTTTTGCTTTGGACACCTTGTCAATAAATGATAATTAACTAACGATTTCATTTTGAAGAATTTTTAGTCACCTAACCAAAACACTTCAAAAATTTTACGATGGTGTAACTGAGTACAATTCAATATATTACCTTCAATATATTTCTTTTCAATGAAAAACTGTTTGTCAAAAGTGGAATTTGTTTAAAACATCTTTAAGACAATACGTTTTCCACTTTTGAAACACCAGGACCCGTATGCATAAAGCTACTTAAGTCAACATATCCAATCGTAATACTAATTTATTGTAGGACATGTAGAAAAATCCGTCCGTTCGGAACAAACCTTACCTTAAGTAGCTTTATGCATACGGGCCCTGATTAAAAACTTGCGTTTTACTTTGCAGTAAAATAAAAAAATTGTGTTCCAGATCAGGAATATATGAAAACTACATTGGTTTATTATTCATATGCACATGTACCATATGTAAAACACTTAATCTTGTGTGCAGGACACTCCCATCTTGCACGGAATGACTGTGCAGCCTCTGCTAACTCTGCTTTTTATCTTTTCGTTGATTCTTAGAAAGAAATAGAATAAAGACTTTATATCGCTTGAACCGGACACACTGACAGATGTACATGTTTGTGCTGTAACTGTCATTTGCAGAAAATAAATAGTCTGTGAACGTGAACGTTTTGGACATTTGGTTATGACTGACGACATAACGCTGTGTTGACTCGTACCATTTGCATGTTTGTTAATCATTGTCATTTTGCTAAGTTTCTTCTATTACCTTCTTTAACATCGGAATCGGACTTCTTTTAAAATCAGTTTTACTGTGTTTGTCATTTCCACATTGGCTAGATGTATATGGTGAGGGTTGAGATCTCACAAAACAGGTTTAGCCCGCAGCATTTTTGTGCCTGTCCCAAGTCCCGAACCTCTAGCCTTTGTTATTCTTGTGTGTGTTTTTTTTTAGTTTGGGTTCATTTGTATGTTTCGGAGTTTAGAGTGGCGTCCATTATGCTGAACTAGTATACATTATTGTTAAGGGTCCAGCTGAAGCCCGCCTCCGGGTGCGAGATTTTCCGAGGCTCGCTGAGTTGATGACCCATTGGTGGCCTTGTATTTTTTTTCTGCTCTTTGCTCTGGTTGATGTCTCTTTTACAAATTTTCCGTTTCCATTCTCCTCCCTTTTGAACTGCAGGTTTTTAAGCTGTCATGAAAACAAGCGTTACAACACACATAATCAGTGACTGCTACCGATACTTCAAGACTGAAAGGCCAGCACAGACTTTGCTGATCGCTCTGTGATAGTGTCTTTTATGTATATCAATCAATATTCATTTCAACTTTAACAATTGAAAAAGGTTTAAAAATTTTCCTTTTCCAACCATGAGATCATTTGTACCTTAATTTAGTTTACTTGAAACGGGTTTTTGAGTTTTGCATTTTAGGAATAACATATTAAAATTTTAAATATTACTTTGATCTGACATGACATGTTTCTAAACAAGATTGATACGATTTAAATTGTTAAATGATATGACTCAAACAGTTAATTGTTAGTTACATGAAATATTTAATAAAAATGAATAATATATTTATTACATTATGAAATCTTCCTTCAATTTAAGATAAAAAAAGAAACGGCGCGAAGTATTATGTTAAATTTCACTTTCACACTTTTTTCTTCGGGGAGGGGGATAACTTCACGTCTTAGTTGGAATGCGAAAATTAAAACTGTTGTAAGTGACGCGAAAACAAAAATCGTGTTTTGTAAAAGAACACAAAGTTTGCAAAATACCGCAATATATGTGCGAAATTATTTGGCTAGCCATTAAATCAGGTTAAACCCACCATTTTTTCTTAAAATGTCCTGTACCAAGTCAGGAATATGGCAGTTGTTATCAAATAGTTCGTTTCTATGTATATTGGCGTTTGTTTTTGTTGTTCCTGTTGTTCCTTTGTTTTCCTTTTATAGTTGATTTGTTTCCGTCGGTTTGATTTTATACCCGGATTTGTGTCCTCTCAATCGATTTATGACTTTTGAACACCGGTATACTACTGTTGCCTTTATTTAGCTTCTCAATATATATTTTTTTTATTCCACTTGATAATGTTAAGTTATTCTCTAAACGTCCTATCCTAAGCATTTGTATGTGTGTAGGCATAATCAAATTAATCTTCAAACCCAAATTTCTGATTGGACGAGAAACAAACGATTATGTGATTTGATATGAGATGTATGTTATGAAATTATAAATATGATTTGCTATTTTCAAAATATGTATCTACTTGATTAAAACAAAAATCTATCATTTACGGGCTTTCCAATTGAAATTTACCACCAATTAAAAAAAAATCTACAAAATGTCTTAGCTAGTGATTTTCCACGTAACAAATCGATAATAAGAAAACAGATCGACGTTACCAAAACGTTTAAGCAATCAAACAAAAAAACAAAATGATAGCAATTAAAAAGTTGTCATTTTTCTTACAAATATTGTTCTTTGTGTACAAGAATTTACGAAGCGTATTACAGCGACATGATTTGTTTTTTATCTTAACAGTTTGCGTAATTTCCCAAACTTTTGTGTTATTTCGCAAACATTTTGCGTAATTTAGTAAACAGTACGCCATTTCGCAAACATTTGCATAATTTCGCACATATGTTGCGGTATTTTGAAAACTTTGCGTTCTTTTACAAAATACGAGTTTTTTTTTCGCGTCACTTACATCAGTTTTTATTTTCCCAATTCCAACTAAGACGTCAAGTTATCCCCCCCCCCCCCCCCTCCCGAAAAAAAATTCGAAATTTACAAATCTAGTTACCTATACTATTATATAAGAATACATTTCTTAAATTGTTGGGCGGGTGGGTTGTCGGGCAAATATACTAACGGATTAAGGGGTAACCACAGGCCACTGGGATTTTTCAGTTGACAGCAAATACGAAAAACAAATTGCAGTTAAAAAAATATACAATTCGAGACAATGTACTGTAGTTAGTATTTTTAAATGCAACCTATACATATTTTGAATATAGTTATGTTAAGTGCAATTACTACATAAACTAATTTAATATATAAATGAAGTAAGATATGCAGTAATATTGTAAAACATATTGTATACCAGACCCGGAAATTGGTTTACCCATTTTACATAACTATTGTAATGAACATTTTTGTCTTGTTTTATTTGACAAAAATATATGCAGACACACTTTCTATTCTGCTATATTCCCGTATCACTGACATTATAAATTGTGGTTGTCGTTTGTTGATATGGTTCATAAGTGTTTCTCGTTTTTCGTTTTTTATATTGATTAGACCGTTGGTTTTCCTGTTTGAATGGTTTTACACTAGTCATTTTTGGGGCCCTTTATAGCTTGCTGTTCGGTGTAAGCTAAGGTTCCGTGTTGAAGGCCGTACTTTGACCTTTAATTGTTTACTTTTACAAATTGTGACTTGAATGGAGAGTTGTTTCATTGGCACCCATACCACATCTTCTTATATCTATATATTTCTGATTTCATACGATTTTCGGAACTTGCATTTCGTATAATGATCACATTGAAAGGGGTTTTGTTACTGAACAAATTCAACGGGATTTAATGGAAAAGTTGAGGTCACCATTTCAAAATTTTTACGGACTGGTTCTTATTAAGCTGAATGTCACAAGATATCTATGTCTAAGATAACCACATACATGTGTACTTTGTCGTTATCACAAACTCATCTGCATTTCCGCTTTTCATTAAACGTTTTTTTTTAACGATTTTACTCGCCATGAGCAACATGACGATACTTGCCATACGGAGAACATGAACGTTTATCATTTGGGAGCATTCGGATTTTGAGTTTTGTTTAATTTTTAGTTTTCTGTGTTCATGTTTTATGTTTTATGGTATACTTTAATGTATCAATTGGGAATAAGTTTTATGTAATGCCGAGAAATATTAACAAGAGTACACTATGCCCTATCGACAAGTTATATTGACGTAAAACTCAACACATTAAGTTATAAATGAAAAACAAAACGTGCCTTATAAAAAAAAAAAAAAATTGTCAATGATAATATACATAGCCATAAGATTACTTATCATAAAAGTACTAATTAATCGGGTATAGTGTTGCCTTTCTTGGACATGCATAATGATAAACCAATAAAATGTCAGTTATTCCAAAAGAAATCGTCGAAACCAGCTTTTTGTTTTCCCCGATTGCTGCCTCACGAATCAATATCAGTTGATTCCCCCTTTTTTCCTCCGTTGCCACGAGACCACCGAGGCGGTATATTTTTCGGTGGAGAAATTTTGTTGTCTGCATAGGTCTTTCTGTAATTCATATGCAGACAACAAAATTCCTCCACCGAAAAATAGCTGTAGAAATGGGTAATAAAACATGATGAACTTCAATGGCAAATGTATGTGTATCAAGCAACTACATCTACATTGTGTGTGCTCTACGATAGGGACAAGTCAAGCCAAACAGAAAAAAATAATTCCAGATGAGAGAATATTAACAACCAAAATATGAAATCGCTATATTGCTGATATGTTCCAAAACTAAATCATATAATTTGATTGTTCATTTGTGAATATGAAATTCATTCAGACTTAAATTTTGAACCAATTAATTGCATTGTCAGATACAAATTGTAAATCTTAACAATCGAGGAGAGACAATATCCCCTGAATTTCTTTTATTAACGAAACCCGAAAGGTGTTCAAACATCCTGGAATTTGAATATTATATTGATTTTATATTATATACATTAATTCA